ATAAGCTAATATTAAAATAAATAAGCTAAGTAATAAGCTAGATTATAAAAAAGTCAGGCTTTATAAGATTTTAAAGAAAATTAGTAAAGTTAATTATAAACTAGACCTCCTAGAGTAACTAAGTAAATAAGGAAAACTAATATACCTGATTTTTTATATTTTACTATTAGAAAAAGTATTAATAAATAAAAATATAGGAGAACTTATTAAGGATAAAATTATTATTAAAGGTAAAGAACTTAAATATAAGGTTAATAAAATAATATTATTAAAAATAAATAAAGTAATTAGTAAACTCTAATACTTAGTAGAATAGAAAGAATATAATAGAAATATAGATAGCTAGGAATTAAAAAGTAATTTTAAATATACTAATACTACTTTAAAAACTTTTTAAAATAAACTCCGTAAATAACTGTAAGTAAAATAAAAATAAATATAGGAAGAACTAGAATAACTTATAAAACCTAGGAAAATAATAAAGGAGTACTCTTTAATAAAGTAAGAGGATCTAAACCTAAGAATACTAAATTAGTATTTAAGGAAGGCTACTTAACCTTACTTATAAATTATACTTTATAAAGAAGCTATGCTTTTTTATATTATACATAAGCTAGCTTAGCCTGCCTTTCCTCTTTTTCTTAATAATTTACCTTTTTTATCTCCTTAGTATTTAATTTATAATTTACTATTTCTATACCTTAATTATAAAGTATATAATAAAGCTTCTAAAGATGTATTAAATAGGCTAATACCTTATTTATTAATTTCTATTACTCCGCTTATTAATAATAACGTTTTATAAAAACCTCTTTTATAAGTTCCTCCTGCTATTTAAAATAATAAAGCTTTTTAGTAATATAATTTATTATAAAAGTTAGTAAAATAAAATAAAAAAAATATAGTAACTTATAGTTTAATATTAAAGTATAAGAACTATTATAAAAATAACCTAAGCTATAGTAATAAATATAATTAATAATACCTTTAATTATTATATAATAAATCCTTTTATTTAAGTACTATATATAAGGTACTACTTTAAACCTAAAAGAATAAATAAAATTCAGTTAGGAATTTTAGTAATTTATAAAATATAACTTTAACAGTACCTTTAGCTTTTTAATATAATTAGGTATAATAATAATTAAGGAAGAAAAATACTTACTTAATAAATAAAGGGGCTATAGTACTTATATAGGATGTAGACTAGGCCTTAAGGATAAAACTAACGGGGGGGGAGTATTATATTATAACTTAATAACTTATAGTTATAACTAGCAGACCTATAGGGTAGGTACTATAGATAAATAACGGTTTATATAAACTAATTAAGATTATATTTACTTTACAAAAAGTAAACACTAGTAAACGGTTACTTAATTAGGAAAATGTTTACTTTTACGAAAGTAAACATAAGTAAATATTATATTATATATATAACTTCTTTATGCTTATTTAAAATAGTTTAAATAGCCAGTTGTAAATATAGAATAATGCTTAATTATATTTATAAAGTATTATTTACTAATTATATAAATAAACCTCCTTTATTTTTGTTAATTGCCTACTGGTCTAGCCTGGCCTATCCGCTAACATAAACCTAGCATAAGGTTTATCCCTTAGGAATTCCTCTTATACTAACACTATAGGAGCTTAGCTTATCATAATCTTATATATTTAATTATTTTTTAATAATTTACTTTATAAAGTTTTATTATACCTAGTAAGCCTATAACTTTATTATTAAGGCTTATACACTATAGTATATGTATTTTAGTAAGCTTATAAAGCTCTTCTATAATTAGCTATTCTTTCCGTAGTATTCCCGGAAGGTATATACTTTAGATTAGGTTATAATAGAACATAAGTAAATATTAAACTATATATTCATTTTACAACGCTCGTTTAGAATAGTTTAGATAGCCAGTTGTAAATACAGAACAACGCTTAATTATACCTACAAAAGTATTATCTACTAGTTATGTAAACAAACCCCTTATCCTTGTTAATTGCTCGCCAGTCCAGCCTGGCCCATCCGCCAACATAAACCTAATACAAGGTTTATCCCTTGGGAATTCCTCTTATACTAACACTATAGGAGCTCAGCTTGTCACAAGTTTGTTATAATATTATATATATCTCTCCTTTATATATATATCTCTATAATATAAACATTTCTATACTATATATATTTCTTTAATATATACTTTGCCTTAGGGCTATATATATAACTTACTCTACTACTTAATTAATTAAGATAATATAACACTACTTAATTAAAAAACACAGCCAGTTAAACGGTTAGCAATATCTGAGGAGTATGAGGAGGTAGCACCACCCTCGCTTAAGTTTCCATCGGATGGGATGCTGCCAGAATTATAGAGTCGGGCAGCCTGGTAGACCTGCTGGGCACCAGTAGTTGACAGACTGGCCAGAAGCTGCTGGAGGCCATCGCCACCACCAGCGACAGTTCCCTGAGTACCGTCCTGGATCATGCCGACAATCTCGTCGTTGGGGCAGGGGACGACGCCGTTGTTTTGCGAGATCCAGCAGGTATGTGAGCCGTCGGCGTCCTGCATCAGACCGGGGTTGGAGAAGAATCCTTGCGTAGTCGGGACACGGACACATCCCTTGCTCTCCTGGATTACAGTTGCTAATATATAACGCGAATCGACGCCAGAAGCGGATGCAACGCTGAGGATAGCAGCTTGAAGATCGGAAGTCTCCTGAGCAGAGTTATTAGGTACGCCCCATTCGTTGTTCTGGCAGGCGTTGTTGATGTTGTTAACGTTGGCATTCCAGATGTTATCGAAGCTGGCCCAAGCGCTCTCAGCAGGCCAGCCAGCAGCAGTCGAACCATCACCGGTGAAGAACTGCTTAGAGGTACAGGTGATGGCACCGCTGCCACCACCGCTGCCGCTGCTGCCGCTGCCAGTACCAGTACCAGAGCCACCGCTGCCACTGCTGCTGCTACCGCCACAGATACCGTTAACGCAAGAAAAAGGATCAGAGCAGTCGTTGTCGGTGCTGCAAGTAGCGCCAGCGCAGTGGCCGGCCCATGAGCAATTGCCGGTACTGCCGCTGCCAGTGCTGCCGCTGCCGCTGCTTGAACTACTGCCGCAGAACGAGGCACCTTGACCGCAGAAACCAAACTGGGAGCAGCAGAAGCCGGTGGCGCAAACAAAGCCAGTGGTGCCACCACAGGATCCGTCAGGAGAGGTCTGGCGAGTGTTCAGGCTACCAGCAGGTACAGCCAGGGCGCCCGAAGCCAAGAAAAAGGCGAGGAACGTAGTGAATGATTGCTGCATTGTCAAATATAGTTTTTGGAGTTAGACTAAAAGTCTCTATACTTTAATGGTTGGCAGTTGGAAAAGAGTTCGTTGAAGTGTGTAGCTGCTAAGGAGCTTGAGGGTAAGATCTTCATTATTGTAAATATATCCTCACTCTTATATAGATCATTTGAGCTCAACTAGCCAGGTCCACTAGGTGGTTTCTAAGATGGATTTACCATTTGAGTAGGTGAAGTTCTATAATACCTTTACTATTTTAAGTAGGTGTGGTTCTGAGATGCTATTACTATCTGGTAATGTGGGATAATAAGACGCCCGCATTCAAGATTGTTGTTACATATCTCACTTTCTTTAGGCGGCACATAACCCCTGCCGTTAAGTCTTACCAACTCGGAACTATCCCAGGTTTAAGAAACCCATGTTATCTTCGTCAAGATTAATGATAAAGCACGATCTTATATTTCAGGAAGTCAGTCTGCGTATGATAATACCTCATTTTAAAAGGCGAAACGCTAGCGTTTTGCCAAATCTTGATTTAGTCTAAAGGTCGTGCGCCAAATGAGACGTTCGTCGCAAGAAGCTAGTTTAGTAAGAGAACAAACGGTCTAGAATGTTGATTATGGAAACTGGAGATTGAATGGGTGTTATTCTTGGAAAAGCTGTTGTTGGTTACCAACTCGAAAAAGCTGTCCCTGCGTAATTCAGTACCCTCGAAGTAGACCCCTTGGCTTCAATTGGAATCAGCAAAATGTAACGCACCAAACGCATTTGGTAAGCACACATTAATTTTTTTTAGCACAATAGGTAACGTTACGAAATGTCAGATGTGTTTCTATTTCAACAAGTAAATGCCTTAGTTACTCCTCCGTAAGACGCCTTATATACATCTTCCTAATTAGGAATATTGCAAAGTCTAGGAACATTGCAAAGTCTTTATAAAAGGCATGTCGCTGACATGAATTAGTTGAAGTTGACATTGATTAGTTTGAATGGGTGTTCATGTAAGCCTACCCCTTGCATCATGGGCCTAACGCCTACCTAATTAAGCAAGAGGATAGTGCCTAGTTAAATGAGCGTTTCAAAAAAAAAAATTCTCTCCTGGTAGAAGTCCTAGCACTAGAACGTATTAGGAGTAGCTGTCCTTCTAACCCTGCACTCCTCTTGCCGCTTCGGTCTTATAGTCTTACCGAATGATAATGCAAGAAGTGGCCATTCGGTGAAAATCCATAAGGCTGTGTAGCTAGGTACAGCCAGTCAAAGAAAGAAAAAAACTAGTATTATTGTAACAGAATTTAACAGCCAATATAATGTCCACCGGTTTAAGGAATACTTTGGCATTACAAGACCTTGTCATCAAAGCGCTTGGTTAACCTTGAGTAAAGAGATAAGTTGTAGAATATAGATACATTAGTAAAGGGATTTAACAGACCTTATGACCAGTTCGAAGCTTAATCAAGCTATTACCCTATAGAGAGCTTGGCTTGTAGACACCAAAATCAATCCCTTTTCAATTGACCTAGAGATAGACAAAATAAATACATATTAAGTAGCACCTAGATATGACAGCAACTCTATTTTAATATTTGAAGCTATATCTAATACTAAAATGTTCACAAAGCTGCAGCTTATGAAAAGTATACTATGGGCTGAGGAGGTATTTGGCGGAGCAAATAATAAAAGGGTGCAAAATGGCATTATGCAGTGGGTAACATGCCATTCTGCCCCTTTGCCTATTGCCTATTGCCTAGATAGTGAAGGGACTTGCTATATTAACAAGCCTGATGCCCGCAAGGTGTTCGTAATGGTAAGCAAAGCTGGGGCTTTGGTCAAGGTCTTCCGATTCGAGGCCACCTGAATAGAATGAAGTCGCCTAGATAGATCGCAATCATTCCGTTCAATCAAATCCGTCCCATTCGTTCAAGGGCTTCCAGTTCAAGGAGCTCAGCAGCCAAACAATGTATATACGTGGCTGTCACGACCCGACTCTTAAGGTCGCGACAAGGGGCTAACAGGTTAGCCAGAACTAGATTAACTACGGGCCGATAGACTAATCAGGACTATTAGCATCCCCTGACAGGAAAGCTAGGAAAGCTAGCTTTTTAAATAATCTACTATAGGAAAGCTAGGAAAGCCAACTTTCTAATATAATCTAGAATATATAACTAAATATATAAGTTTATTTTATATTACTTATTAAAATACTTAAATAACTAGTTATTATTACAGCGTTTATAATATAATTAAATTAAAATATAAATATTTATTTTTATTTATATTACTAGCTAATAATAAAATTACCTATTACTAACTTAATTACTTTACTAATATAAATTATAAAATTACTTTAAGGTTTATCTTTTAAAAATAGCTAACCTATAGTACTTATAAAACTTAGTTTATTATATAATAATAACTTTTATTTAAATAATTACTTTAAACCTATAGGTAATAAAATATTAAAAACTTAGTAGTTTATAAACTTTAGAGTTTTAAATAATAATACTAATTATAAAAGTAAAGCTTAAAGTAATTATAATAGTAATATTAAGCTTAAAAATATACTAGCTAAAAATATAGTTAATTAAGTTAATTATAATAAATTAAAGGCTAAATTTAAAGCTTTTAAAATATAGCTTTAGGACCTTTAAAATAAAAAAAGGGAGAAGGGTAAGGTTCTTAAACTAATAAAGCTTAAACTCTTTAACGGAGATTTATATAAAATAAATAAATTTTTCTTAGAACTTATAACCTATTTTAAATACTTCCCTTATACTTTAAAAAATAATAAAAATAAAGTTATTTTTATAGGTAGCTACTTTATAAAAAATACTAAAATATAATTTTAACTTATTATATAGAATTATAAAAAAGGAAAAATTAATTTAAAAAAGCTTAAAACGTAAACTAAAGAAATTTATACTAAGTATATAGAATTTTAAAAGTAATTTAGGAAATCCTTTAATATTATAAATAAATAATAAAAGGCTAAGTAAGAATTTTATTTTATTATTTAAAAAAAATTACTAAGTAAGTATACTTTAACTTTCTTATATTTATTAACTAAAGTTAACTAAACTAAGGAAATAAAAAAAAAAGTTTACTATAATAATATAAAACCTAAAGTTAAAAATAAACTTTTTAAAATTAATTATAAAAAAATAATTTTTATTAATTATACTTAAAAAGCTATTAAAATTAATAATTATAATTAAGAATAATAAAAAAAGCAAAAGTAAGAAAAAACTAAAAACTTTTATAATATTTAACCTAAGTAAACTTAAGGATATTAAGTTAACTAAGGAAAAAAGTAAAATAATTATATTACTTCTTTTAATAATAAATAACTAAGACTAATAAACCTTAGTATTATTAAAGTATAATAAAAAAATATTAAATATTATAATTATAAAAAGAAAAAATATATAAAAAAATATTATTAAATACCTAAGAAAAATAGTAATAAAAAGTTTATATTTATTTTAAAACTTAAGGAAAACTAAGTTATTAATATTATAAGACCCTTAGTAAACTATAATATATTACACTTTTTAGTATACTATAATAATAATTACTAAATATATTACAGTAATAAGTAAAGTTTTAAATAATATCCTAAGGAGTATACCTAAACCTTAAATATACTTAAAAAGGTTACTTAAACGTACTTAGAAAAGAATAAGATAGTAGAATAAGATACAGCGTCCCTAATATAATATAGCCTTTATAAAGGGATAACTTAGGAAGAAATTAATAACCTTAAGAAATATATATATAACTAATATAGGTTAGTAAAACCTAAAGGTATTTACTACCTTTATAAAATAACTACAGTAGACTAAGAATAATATAAAAATTAATATAGAATTTAAGGTATTATTAAAGAAAACTAATGCTATAATAAAATTATATAATAAAAAAAACTTAAAGATTAATAAAAACTCCTTAAATAATAAAGATAAATTAAATAAATTAATTTAAGTACTACCTATAACTAAATTTAATTACTTAGAAATTAGTTTTAATAATATATTAAGACTAACGTAGATAAATACCTAATAAATAAAATACTAAAATTAATTTTATACTATATTAATAATATTTTATTTACTAACTAATATAATAAAGCTAATATTATTAACTATAAGCTACTACTATATAAATAATATATTATAATTAAACTTTAGGAATAGTATAAAGATTATAGGGTTATAGAATATAAATAAAAAGAATTTACGTTTTATAATAAAGATTATTATAAAAAATACTAATATTAACGCTAAGCCTTTATATATATTACCTATAACTTAAAATAATAAAGATTTAACTTTATAAAGTATAATAATAATAATAAACTATAAGGAATTAGCTAGAATAACCTTTAAAAATACTATAAGCTTACTACTAGATATATACCTAAGCCTAAATATACCTAGTGTAAATACTATAATATTTAAAATAAAAAACTAAGATAAATTACCTTAGACCTAAATAATATTAATATTAACCCTTATGGTAATAATTATTATAATAATGCTAATAATATAATCTACTATAACTTAAATACCTTTATAAAAGGAAAAAAACTATAAAAATTCTAAGTACTAGATATTTTAAAAAGATATCTAATTATAATTTATATAAATTCTAAAGCTATAATAAGCTATATTATACCTTAACTAGTTAATTACCTATAGTTAACCTATTATAAAAAGGAGAAACTATATACCTTTATAAGCATTAAGAAATAATAATTTACTTATAATAATAGAATTATTAACTATAAAACTAATTACCTTAAAATCTAATTTAGTAAAATTAAGGATATATTTAATTTTAATATTATAAATATTATAAAACATAATATACTTTTAAAATATAATTAGCTTAAGTTACATAACCCTAATATTAATTAAAAGGAAGGCTACGTAATATAATAATATTATACCTAATTAACTAATATTATAGTAAAACTATAATTAGATTAGGAGGATTAATAAAATGCTATAATATCCTTAACG